TTTTGCAGATGGGTGGCATAATTATTGATGTCCTGTTATAATCTTCTGTATAGTCATGGTTTACTACGAGTATACTCGCCCAGGGATAGTTTGAAAATATTAAACCTGTTTATCAGTTTGAAAGAAAGCTAAATATTCGTGTTGTGCACTAGGTATCCTGCATTTCTTTCCCAGAGATATAGTGAAATCTCTGGAAACTGCTTTTGTAATTTAGTGTTTGTTGAAGATGGCCTGTTTAGCATTTAAACTTCCCAGTGCCTCTAAAAGCCAGAAAGGAGGGGGGATAATAAATAGTCACCCACTTAATGTTTTTTTCATTGTGAAACAGAGTTAAGAAGAGTAATGACACTGGTTTGGTTTCTCCTCATCTCTGTTGTGTAGTAAAAAGAAATAAAATTATTTAGCTGAAACTATGCAGAAATAGTACTTAAATCTACATATGAAGCAGAGGATAAATGCAGTATTTCATCTGTGGCCTACTAAGGACAGCACTAAATTCATCCCTCCTTTAAGAAACGTCACTTTATTGACTTCTTAGTGTAAATGGTGCTGTGGACACTGTGCTTGTACTCTACCCTATCCTGGCTGGTGCTGTGGGGACAGGGGTGAAAGGCAACATTACTGTTATTCAGTTAAATTGGCATTTCTTATGTAAGAAGGGTGGTTGATAAGTTAGTTGATACATCAACTGCCTGCGTGGGAGTCCGTGTCAGGGGTTCCCATGGTTTTGCTTCACAGAGGTTGTGTTCAGTGGAGTAACTGAGAGATGCACAGAGATCAATGAACACGTTTGTATTGTTTGGTTGTCTTTTGTGTTTTCAAACATAGTGCAAATCCAAAGTCAAACCATGTGTACCAGATTTACAATTAGTAAAAATGAACGAATTTTTTTAACTTTTATTTTTGGTTACATTTCCTGGCAGCTTAGCCCAACCCAAGGCATAGAACAGCAACAGCTATTATATAGCAACTGCAGATAAATTAGCACTTCTAATATCTTTCCTTATCCCTTCCTTAGAGGATGAAATTTTTTAAGGTTGCTAACTGTGAGATCACTTCAATGTAACATAAAAACATTCTTGTTTTTATTTCTGTTTCTTCTCCCATTGTCCCTTTTGTAGGAAGCCCACGTTACTTGTGTGTCCAGAGTGAGGCTGCTGCTTCTTGCAGGGAGAGAGCTGGAAGCACACTGCAGGGCCAAAGCAGCTCCTGGATTTTAACTGAGGTGGAGAACTACTTGGCTAACCCACTGAAACACCTCTATAAGAAGGTTTTTCTGCCCAGAAAGCTTACCTGCCCATAGGGGTGGGACTGGCAAGTAGTTAATAGCATGAAGTGCTGTTATTTATTGCTCTCTGCGCAGAGAGCATAATTTGTACTGCCTGCCTTTGGTCATACTGATGCCCTGAGTGACCCTTGTGAAGAGAGCTCCTGCTGCCACGCTCCTGTGACTGAGTCCTTTCAGCTCATGGGGGAAAGAATAAGCTTCCTAAATTGGAAGCCAGAATATTATTCACAGCAGAACTTAGTCCACCTGTCTCTGGAAGGATAGCTGTAGTTCTCTGAATCTTTGTCTATCTGTGTGAAACCCAGTAACTTGTATATGACTGCAAGATATCTTGTATTTTCACAAAAACTCATCTTCTAAAGAAGTCCCACTAAAGCTTGATATCAATGAACGGAGAATCTCTGCATTCTCCTTTGGATAGCTGCACTAATGGTTAGTCACAGGTGATAAAAGCATGTACTTTATTTCTCACTTAAATTTGGTGTCAGCTTCCAGATGCTGATTTGTTTTATGCACGCCCTTTGCTAGATTAACAAGCCAGTTGGTACTTAGAATATTCTTCCAATGAAAATACTTAGGTGCTGTAATTAGGTCATCTTCTTTTTTTTTGGTGATAAACTATACAAACTGAACTCTCCAGATACTTTATATTAACACTTTGCAGCTGTATTCTGTGATTTCTGGTGGTGGGTTTTTTTTCCAGTTTCTTTCTAAATTGTGAAGATCTTATCCTATTTTAAGTAGGAATAGGTTGCAATACTAATATCACCAAAGAAAGTTTAAAAGAACATTTTCTGTCTTTGCATACTGTTTGTTTCAGAGCTCATATTAGTACTTAATTCTGTATGAAATCAGATTTGAAGAAACTCTTTTGTTGTTGAGTAAAACCTTATGGGTAGGGGCATCTGCTAGCATGACCAGTTACTGCAGTCATCTATACATGCTCTCACCTAGTCATAAGGGAAATTTATATAACTTTTCAATGTCACTGATACTTATAAGTAATAAAATAATAATAAAGAAATTGTATCTTTTCTCCTCTAGGATGTCTCTTTCCTTTTGTTTTTCACTTTTTCAGCAGAGAGCTAGTATGAACTTTTTTAGCAAAAAGTTGTCTACCATGGTAACCAAGGCTGGTCTTAGGAAAGGATTCGATTAGCTCTTCCAGCTTATGTTACCAGTGCTGCCTCCACTGATGCCTTCTGCCTGCTCTGTAGCAGCATGGGAAGATGAATAGCCTTTAAGTGATCCTGTCACGGATAAAAACCTCCAGGGATCCAGTTTGTAAGATTTGTAAACAGAACAAATGAAAACATGACCCAACCAATTTATGAGTATAATTATGATAGAAAGTATTCATAGAATTTCTTCAATAACCATTCTTCCATCTACAGTGCTACAGTATGAGTATCTGGTATTCTGCAGTGTCCTTTACACTCAATAAATCTTGCAGAAGCCTACAGTACAGATATTTTCTTGGTGCTTGGCATGAGAGCAGCATCAGTATGTGTTACATACTGTTGCATAGCATAATGTCAAGAGTTTTGAATAGAGATAATTTTAATATAATAATACTCTTAGCAATTTCCCCATAAGACATGGAGAAGTTGTAACAGAAAAATCCTCTAATTGTTGCTTGGATTTTTAGATTTTGTATTTACGCACAATTATGCTTCTTGGGTTTTTTGGTTTGTTTTGTTTTTTTTAATAAACATAATATTCTCCACAGAAAAATGAGATGGGAGACAAGTTGTGGATTCCCCAACCCTGTCAGTGTTCAGTGCCAGGTTGGATGGGGCTTTGAGCAGCCTGGTCTAGTAGGAGGTGTCCCTACCCATGGCAAGGGGGTTGGAACTAGATGATCTTTAACGTCTCTTCAAACCCAAACGATTCTATCAATCCATAATTAAAAAAAAAGATGGGGTGGAGAGATAAGAACAATCATCTCAGAATGCCATCTGAGAATGAGATAGGTAATTAGATAAGTTGCCACACAGATGGAGATTTGTATACACTCAGTAAATGAACGCAGAAAAACTATGGACTTCTAGCTTATGTCTTGTTAATACTTTGTGATGCTTAAATAGCATTTATTGTCCCTTGTGTAGTCATTCACCTCTGATTAGAATAGATGTAACTTTCTGAAGTGAGTAGTAGTCGATTAGATGGTGTACTTGCCTCACAGTAAACTAAATGAGAACATGTTGTATGTAGTACTGTAGACTGAGAATTAGAACTGGATTTGTGAAAGCTTCTCCTGATTATGTGTTTAAATATGTTACTTATTACATTGATTATATCAGAAAATTATACTTAATGTATAGTTGTCATGGTTTAACTTGAGCTGGTAAATAAGTATCACACAGCCACGCACTTCCCCTAGCCATCCCAGTGGGATGGGGAGGAGAATTGGAAAAAGATAAAGCCCATGTGTTAAGATAAAGAAGAGTTTAATAATTGAAATAAAGTAAAATATAACACTAATAATAATGACAATAATTATTAAAGGGGGGATAACAAAACAAGGGAGCAATAAAACCCAAAAAGGACAAGTGATGCACAATACAATTGCTTACCACATGCTGACCAATGCCCAGTCCTTCCCCAAGGAGTGAACAGCACCCTCCCAGCCAATTCCCCCCAGTTTTTATACTGGGCATGACATTCTATGGTATGGCTGTCCTGGCCATGCTCCTTCTTGGCTTCTTGTGCACCTGCCCACTAGCAGAACATGAGAAACTGAAAAGTCCTTGACCTAGGGTAAGCACTGCTCAGCAACAACTGAAACATCAGTGTGTTATTAACATTATTCTCATACTTAATCCAAAATACAGCACTGTACCAGCTACCAGGAAAAAAATTAACTCTATCCCCAACAAAACCAGGACAGTAGTCTTAAAAGCTGTCAGACATTTGTGTGGAAGAGGATAATTAATTTTAAAAGTCTCCAATGAATATCTCATTTCACTTTACAACATTTAATTATTAGATTACATAGACAAAAATTGAGCATAAAACTTAAGGCTTGAAACAGAGGAGTAGGAAGCTAGTCAAGATACGTGGTGCTCGAATGGCAGAGGAAGTCAGAAATAAGGCTTTACTCATCACACTCGATGGCAGGCATGGAAAAGTGTGCAAATGGGTTTATTATTGCAGAAGAATGTCAGGCTGTCTTTCATGTCTGATTTTCATAAATGCTTGCCTTTAGACTTTCCCCAAAAAACATTCAAGAAGGTGATTTCTTTTACCTGCTTGTTTCTTCTTGCTCAAAGTGGTGCTCAATCAGTTCCCACTGGAAGCTTTTTGAGGAAGCACTTTTGTGTGCATCCCACTGTTCAGAGGCAGCGCACTGGCATTTCAGTCCTGTGCTCAGCAGTGGTTCAGGGTGAATTGCTTGCTTTTGTTTTACCTGACCAGAGATGCTGAAAATTGTTAAGCCAAGCTCAGGGTGTATTAGGATTCTTCCAGATTCCTGAGAAAGTGCAGACCTTTGCAAAGTGCTCGAGTGCTGTGTGTCACTGGGGCTTCCCCTCGCCTCTCTAAATCTTTCTGTGATGGGTGTTGGATTTTTTCCCCTTCAGGTTCTGTCAAAGCTCCTAACTTGGAAGCTAGCACTTTGGTGAATGCCAAAAGCAAAAGGAGTCAAATGCTTGTGTTTTCATGAGGTGATGGACACCGTACCATCTTGACAGGTACCTTTCTCTCATTGCAGCCCTCTCAGCTGTCAGATGTGGTGATCTCCATGGTAACTCAAACCCCCAGACTCTTGACAGCAGCCTGCGAGGAGCAACATTCAGCAGCTCAAGGGTCTCACGACCAGGTAAGCCAAAAGGAATTGCTCAATAAGAACTCACATCCAGTGCACCATTTCCTGTCCAACTGCCTTTCAGGTTTTTCCCTGGTCAAGCCACCCAGGCAGTCAGTTCCTGTACGTACACCAGTGCTGTCATTTGTCCAACTCTCTTGAACAGAGATATTTGACAGAAAGTCTGCGTTTATCAGGGTTGCTTTTTAAGCTACGGGTTGAAGAAGCAATGCAAAGAAGCACTGGGCAATTCTTTAAGTGGTTTTGGTGTTCAGTAATTGCCAGGGTAAAAAAAATTACTCCAAAATGCATCAGCAGTAAGATCAGTCCTACCAGTGTACCGACACCACCAACAGTACTGCCCATCTCTAACATTAGGCCTGAGCAATCTTATTCTCCTGCAATGCATCAGGGACTGTTTCTGTGTTTATGTAACATTCATTGGTACTCTGCAGCCTTTTCAAGTTGCTGCTGTGCTCTTTTCACACAAGTTTCTAAGTCCCTCTCTGTGCTAATAGCAGCATGTGGGGCATTCTGGTTAACATCTTAAGAAGGTACAGACTTCTTCCCCTTTTTTGGTGAATTATAGAGAAAGAACAAGATCTTTGCCATTTTTGGGAAAGCAATGCAGGGACTGTACAGCTGTATTGACTATTGCGGTACTATGAATGCTATGAACAGAAGTAGTATCTCTGGTCTTATGCACTTACATGTGTGGGAGATTAGCTACTCCTTTTTGTTATAAGATTTCACTGTCATTTGTATTGAATTTTTTCTGTGCCATGTATTTTGTGAGCTCTTGGTTTCTCTTCACTGATAACTATACAAAACGTTTCCTAAACAAGACTTTACAGCCTCTCTTGCCCGTTTCCTTGGCCACTGATTCTTCTCTTGGCTCAGGTGTCCGTGTGTAGGGTTGAGTTTGTATTGCATCTGTTTCTCCAACACCTCCCAGACATGCAAAGATTTTGTCTGCCCTAGATTGTCCTTAACCAAAAAGTAACATGTCGGTGAGATGAAATTTATTCCCCTAATAGGGCTCCTTCTTGCCACGTGTGCCAGCTGCTTTTCTGAAGGCCAGAACACCTCAACTTCTCACCAGACATGTAGCCAATTATTGATCATCAGTCTTTTTGTTTTCTGTTACTCTGAAGGTCAGACAGATCTCCAAGATCTCTTTCACGTCCTACCGAAACATACAGCTGGTCTTGACTATCCAGAAATTTTGTAACAGGGAGTGAGTACATGCTTTAGCACTTTTCCTCTCACAGTATCACTGAGACTTTCCTCTCTGCAGGAGAATGTCTCTGACCAGTCTGGGGACAATGCAGGGAGAAAATGTCAGTTTTCGAAGAAAGAAGCTCCAGGAAAATGTCATAGATTCCTGGCATTAAATGTTTTAGAGACTCCTTGTTGGATTTTGGAGATTTGTTAGGAGCAGCAATGCACATCTGCTCAGGCACATCTGTAATGATCATTTATCTGAATCAGTCAGAGGAAACCCAAAAGCAGAGAAAAACATTATGATTTTACAAAGTTAGTAATAATTTTTAGTGAATCTTCTTTTGTTCCTGAGAATGGAACACAGAAATTTCTTCAGTCATGTTTTACTAGTTTAGTTGCTTGAATTAGACCAATAAATTTTACATGATGAGTGTCAGATCACTTAGGTACATTCCAATAGGTAGTCACCAAACTTATTTCCTCAACTTAGTTGTGGCTTTTGAAAATCATGGCCAAAATCACTAGGCAGACTAACCAAAATATGTTTTAACAAAATTTGGTCATGTTAATTTTGTCCTATGCATTCTTATTGTCATCATTGTTTGTTATTGCTGTGATGGGGCTGACAATGACAAGAGGTTGGCTTTATCGAGATCATGTGTGATATGTTGTATAAATGCATTGGGAATTACAGTATTTTGACTAGAAAACCTTGTAAAAAGCAAGATGAAACAGAGAGATGAGGCAAAATCAGATGTCGAAAAATGAAAGGTTGGGCAAGTTCAGTTAGAAAAAGTAGGCATATGCACATGATACCTAGGAAGAAACAGGTCACCATTTGCTAGTTTGATGTTTATTGTATGAATTAGTTGCTTTGAATTTAAGAGTGAGATGGATAGGATGTAGTGGAAGATCCTTCAAACGTATCAGCATATTAGCAGGTTTCTGTTGTTCAAGAAGCTTGCAATAGGTGCAGTTCAAGAATGTCACAAATGAAATGTGATAGTGCAAGTTGTGACTGTTGTTGGTAAAAACACAAAAGCACAGATTAACATAAGAAAACAGTCATAATTTTTAAAAGAAAATATTTCCAGAACAGTACTTTTTCAGAAGCATTCATTTGGTGTGATGGAGAAGAATGTTTTGTTGAGAAGAACATTGCATTTTATTCAGGGAAAGTACAAGAAATTATGAGAAAAAATTTGACTTGCAGTTGCATGAGTTTGAAAAGTACCATAATATATGCATACTGTTTCTTAAAAACTTTTATGATTTTGTACAATTACTGATTTTTAGTGATTTATTTGAATTTATTTAGAACTTTTTAAAATTATACTGCACAGACAGAAAATACAAAGGCTTTCTGTATGTTAACGACAGTTGTTGACACCTAATCCCACCAAATAATTTTATTGGTCAGTTAGATTTACGGACTAGAAAAATCAATCTGCTTTTAAACAGTGTCCTTTGTAATTCTTGGGTTTAGTTAATAAGCTCTGTATTGATTTTGATTTCTAAAATTGTACCTGTGGGCATACACATGAACTATTCCTTCTGACTACTCAGCATTTACTATGCATAGTGTGGTTATTCTTGAAAGTCATATGGCACACTTTCTGTTCACTGAAAAGTAGTGAACTGTTGTAATAACATTTTTAAAAATAGACATATTTAAAATAACATGAACATTCTTTAAATTTGCAGCTGTTTCATGGCTTTATTTATATATTCCCTGATGCTTTTCTTGTTACTTGGTGAATCATGGTTAACTGAAGTCTGATTTTATTCATGAAATATTACTTAATCAGTACTTTTTGGCCTATCAACCAAGTCAGAAAAAAGTATCTATCTAGCTAGAACATGAACTTGTCTCTTTTGCACCTTTACATGGGGCTGGAGAGATGAGGAAACTGTTTCAGTCATGGCTAACTTCTGAGATACGTGTTTTGAGCCTTTCTTTTACGTAGTACAGTTTTAAATTGCTGCTAGTGGAATAAGATTGTTGCTCTTTATTTTTTAAAATCTTTTCTCTTTGACACAGCTAAGGCTTCAAGGAAGTTTTTCAGTGATAGTAAAGAGGATGCTAACATTGCAAAATGAGATGGTAAAAAGCCTTATCCTTTGATTTTTAAATTAAGATGGTGATTAAGGCATAACTCAGACCTTTTAGGACTGGACTGTTTGATTTGTAGAGCACCTTAAGATGCCACGTTGACCATACCAGTCACTTGAAAGTACTTAGTAATAGATATGCAGAGTGGAGAAAAGCAGTTTTGGTTGTAATTGTTAATAATATATTTGGTTCACCTGGAGTGCCAGATTAAGTGAGAGGTGCATACCTTCATGAGCATACACCATGGCACAGGGTAGGGGAGCATGGAGCTCTGCTTTGCCCAAAACTGCTCAGCTCAGGTATGTCCTTGGACATGTACCCTGTAGTGTAGTACCATGTGTGTAGTACACTCCAGAGACACTGTGTCTTCTGCATCGTGCCTGTAATGAGGGACTATGTATGTGCAGTAAATCTGCTGCTTCCCAAAGAGAATTAGGACAGTTTTCCTCTGAAGAAGAATGGGGTTTTCTGCTTTTTAAAGGTTGGTTCACTTGAAGCTTTTATTTTGTACTGAATTATTTTTTTTACATCATGGTGTAGAAATGGAATTACTAAAGGCAGTGTAGTTAAACATACTCCTAAATAATCTGAATGTCTCATGCAGCCATCCCACACAGAAACAGAACAGGTAATATAATTGTTCTTTCAGTAAGTTGTTTCTCTCTAAATTAAGCCATGGAGAGGTATAGGATCTGTATTTCTATTTACGTTTTTGTATGAGCTTGTTCCTAACACTGCTTTGATTTAATGGAACATGAATATAATTTATGGATAAACATACTGTTATATAGATAGTACATGCTAAAGATTTGTGCTCAATATACAGATTAACATCAGTTAATTTCAGAAGAAATTTTATCTTTAATCAGCCTGTGAACATTTTCACATGGTATTTTACTGTCTAATCTTCACTCTGTAAATGAAAGAAATCTGTAAATGAAAGAAATAAAATGATCATTTTTTTTCTCAAAAGTTTATTCAATATAGTGGTGAGAGTTAATATATTTTTTGGTGTGAACCAGAGATATTTTAGGTATAATTAATCAAAATGGAATTGCAAGCATGTCCTCACTGATAGTGTGTTTTAACTTACTCATGGAGATCACAGGTTCACAGCTGTCCTCGTAACAGAGGACCTTGACCCAAGCTTGACTTTTTTCATAAATGTGATTACACTGACTTAGTAACTAAATTGTTGTAATGGCTTATTTGGAGAGTAAGTGATCACCACAAAAAAAAGCTGAGGTGATTTAAGGTATTACAGATCCCACACCTGAACTGGAAGAGCAGTGCCCTTGAGTGCCTGACTGTTTCAGTACCAAGTCCATTTGCAGCTCTTGTTGAAGGCTGTTAAAATGGCCAGGATGTTCTAACTTTAAAGAATGCAGTGAGAGATCAGTCAGTCTTCTGCTCTGATTCAGCTGTGAGGGACAGTAAACTCCAGGTAAGGAGCAGAGGCAAATGGCTGCAGCACCCCTGGTTTTACACCGGTGCCACCGTTTGTGCAGTATGTTTCAAAACAGTCTTTGGGTTGACTTGGGTGGAGCCCATTCCCTTTGAATAATCCGACTTCCCAGAGTTGTATAGTGCTGTATCTTCTCCTAATAAATGGTTCAGGAGATTGGGTTAGTATGGATGGTACCTACTCAGAAAATACAGGGGGAACAGGGAAGGCACT